CTATTTTGTGCAAAATACGGTATAATAACACATACATGGAGGGATATGCTTTTGATGTATTCATATAAAAAAAAATATATATATCAATAAAACACCATTTCTACTACACGGAAACAGTTTTCGCGGCCGCCACGTGCAGTGTACAAAATTGCAGTAAGAGCAATAAATTATATTATAATTTTGTTATACCCGGCGGTAAAATATGAACGACTGTTTTTATTTTATTTTTTCTAAAGGGAAACTCGTGTATATAAATGCGAAAACTAACGGTTGACTGTCGGTCGTGTGTGCGTTGCTTGTAGATCAAAGATTTCAATGATATGTAATAGTGAATTAATTTTATTAATGGTTTCTTATTTAAAAAAAAATATATATATTGAGGGGAATGCTAAAAGTTGAATTATTGTTAACTAAATAAAATTGATTTTTGTCGACCGATAACCGTTTTTATACGGGGACGTCTTAAGTCTTATGGAATTAACTGAAAGTGATAAAAAAACACTTAGTTTTATGTAAATCTGTACATGGACCATGGTAAAAATCATTAATATTCAATAAATATCACTACATAAGGAAAACATATGTTCATAATAACGTTATTGTGGTACAATATCGTTGTAAAACTGTGCTTAGATCGACTTTGAAGCTAAAATGCAGTTTAAGTTGGTTGACCGCGTTACCGTTTGCCCTATTTGTTTAAAGATTTTAAATTCTCTATATTACACAGACGTGCAAAGTTTTTAACATGCATATTAAGTACAGTACAGCGTGTTCAAAATCAAAAGCCGTTTAGGAAAGGGTATTACAAGCTCAATTCCGTGGGATGTAAGCGTTAAAGGCAATAAAAGGCGTTAAGCACCTGAACTGCGAGCATAATATATTATCTATATACATAAATATTATACATTATTATTAGTTTACTTTACAACAGTGTGTGTGGATGTATTATTATCATCGTTATCGTTATTTATCCGTCTTAACGTGCGGCGGCGTTGTTGTCATTGTTTTTATAGACGCGTTCTCTATATCATAATGATAATAATAATAATATACGTGGGAGAGTAAGTGTGTACAGTGTGCGGTGAAGGAATAATGTAACGATATTGGCCCGAAGGAAATCTTTAGGTCCGATGCGCCGGCACGCTTGTCCATATATCGCCCGTGTATATTATTATATACGAAGAGCTATTCCCAAAAATGTTATTATAGCCTCTACTCAACCCCCTCCCCACCGTCGATACATGTAATGGCGGAGGCCACGTGACATTTTTTTCTCCTATCGCCCATAGATAGTAGTATTATGATTATTATTATTATTATTATCGTGCCGCCGCCGTCACCGTGGCGCTATATTCATTCCGCTGAAAGCTATTGGGGAAAAATTCGTTGCCGCGGATTACCCAGATGATCTATATTCTATAAGAACCATGTACGATGCGCCTTGCTCCTCAGGACGCTGTATTATCGTTGTACGCACAGTCGCCATAAGGAAAAAGGCAAAAAAAAAAACCGTTATCGCCAATTTTGTACCCGTCAAATGTCGTCTTAACGAAAGTGTCTTGATAAAACTCATTGACGCGGTTACTGTGGTTAGGTTATTATTGAAACCTGCTTCCATTTAACCTATCATTGAAACTCTGATAACTCTATTCGTAGAGTGACTATAAACAGGTTAATTATGGTGCTCCGACAGAAAGTCTTCAAACGAAATGTACTTAAAAATTCGGTCAACACGACTATGTCCACTTATAGTTTGAATTCGTCTAATATTTGAGTTTTTTATTAAAAGTAATTTATTACATATTTTTAGCTTTCTTAGTGCATTTTTGTGTGTATTATGCATAATGTATTACATTTTTATATCCTAACTAATCTGAAAAGATTTGAGGTAGAAAACATTTTATTTATAAGAGTATAAATCTTAAGACGTTTTTTCTTTTGTGATAGTTTAATGTATAACTCATTAAGATACTGCATTGAGTAAGGACATATATATCTGACTGAAGTCCTGATCCGGGGTGTAATTAGCCAATACAATTTATTGAGCTATCAATATTTTATAATTGAAAATAGTGCTAGTATCTCTGTTTTAATTCTTCTCTGCCCAATCCAGTCCACCTCTAGGCTCTACGAATATACGTTTTGTTTTACCGCTAGTATAACACAATATATTTTATATTATTATTTTAATAAGTAGACCTTTTTTGCATAGTGTACTATGAAGTATGAAACGACGAGAGCGATTAGAATACTTTATATTATGTAAACGCGATGCAACTTGAGTAGTCGATGACTTTCGGATTCGAAGTAATCCATCATCGCTTTTTTGTAAATAATAAAGTCTATAACGATAAATAATCCGGTCGGACATCGGCGTGTGTGCTATTTGATCCGATCGTCACGTCATATACATAACATTATTATTCTCGAACCGTCACGAGTAATTTTTTTTTATTGGGAGGGAGGGGGTCCGATGGGTGAGGGGCGGAGTGGCATCCCACACGTTTTAATCGCAATTTTAGCGTTTCGCACAAATAACGGGCGTATCGGCCGACCGAAACGGTTTGTGCCTGAGTTGTGTTTTTTTTTAATTTGTATTATTGTTACACTGTACACGTACATTTCGCAGTGGCCGCTATAATGGTGACATAATAACGACGGGTGCACGTAAACACGTGTAATTTATATACGTGCCAGAGACCTATAGGGAAAGGAGAATGGGACGGACAAATAAATTTCGGAAAAACCGACGGCAATTTTTCATCCCCCTCCAAAAAGGCTGGACGCACTTAATTTGTATACTCTGTAGTTTTTTTTTTGTTTTTTTACCAACGCTCATCCCCCGATTAGTGTCACACGTACGTTTTGTTCTCGCGTTCAGCCGTGCTGTATGTGTTTTGTTGGAATATAATATGTATATATAAAATTATATACATAATATATTGTACACGTTACACATACTCACCGGGACACGACGCATAAGTCATAGGCACACACGCGACTGCAACGAACGGGAGCGATATATTATAAAAAAAAAAAATTAAAAAAATGTGTGTGTGTGTGTGTATAACCTTTTATTGTTGTCTGTTGACCGCCGGGCGCAATTTTGTTTTACATAAGGCTATACAATACAATATAGGTGAGGATTGTTATTATAATATGTGTATATATTTTTATTATCCCGTGCACACAAGGTTCAATCCCAGGGAATAATAATAATAAAAACATTCCACCGCGACTCGACAAACGACAGTTCGCCCTTATAGCAAATGCAATAATATTTTATTTTTGTAAAAAGAAAGTTTTCTATCTATACATGTATTATAATATTGTTATTATATTACTGCGGGGTCGGCGTGTGTCCCATACGCGAATCTCTGGGCCCGGCGCGCCGTTCACACAATGGCCGACCTAATGTCAAAACTCTCCTATCTCCGGACCCGACTTTTGCGTTGTTCACAAAATCACAATTCCGTCGAGTTTGTCCGTGTTTGTCCCGGCACTGCTGCAAATCAAAACTGTTTATTCACGGACTGGCCGGGCAAATGGGCAAAGTGAAGAAGGGTGCCACTAAAAAGGTGACGATATCCTTTTGTAAGGTATCGGGGGCTCGGATTGCGGCGTTTATTGATAAAAACGGGTTGGCCTTCTCCGTATAATAATTATATATACGGATGGTCGGATGCCTGCAGGGGGGAAGCCATCTGTCGTCGCGCTGTGCAGAGAACATAATATACATGTATAGCTGCCATGACGCCGGTGGTGCGTACGCTCGTGTGTCATTAGCGTGTGCAGAAGAAAAACAACGGCGGCGGGGTTGATTGGTTTCGGATGGATTGACATGATTGCTAATTCGACGGCAACTCGCCCCGTGCCCCCTACCACCCCTTTCTTCGGTAACTGCAGCTCATCCCGACCCCGTGTTCGGTATAACATATATATCATACCGAGAGGAGAGGGAACCCTTTCAATACCTTTGCCGACTTAATTACTACGCTCATCAGCGGCGCACATGTAACCCCGTTTTTGTTAAAATACTATTATTTTATAAACGGTATAATATAATAATTTACAAAACAATAATAATAAAACGATTTAAAGGTGTGTGCTTTATATCGTGCTAGCGGTCGACGGCCGTCCATAAATCCCGGTCCCCATATAATAGTAATATACCATGCCGGATATTGTACATAATAATAATATTGTTATCAATGACAATACATTGAACCGAGCATAGATGTATAATGATATATTTATAACCGCCTACCATTTTTATAAATATATTACATATATACGTAGTACTCCATATAATAGTTTAAGTGCTCGCGCCTTACACATATATACACAATCTGGGAATGTATGAAATATCGCCTGTGAAATGACGGGGCCCGTCGTCGGTGAGAGGGTCACTTAACTTAATGTACCAAAAGAGTTTTTCCGCAGGGAGAGCGGGAATGGGGACGAGGTAAACAAGCTACAAGCCAGGGATAAGAGGAGGAGGTGTAGTGCAGGAAAGCCAAAGGTGGACCTCGACGAAAGGAGGGCCGTCTGCCCATAAATTCGGTTTCGTCCCTTTCTACACAGCGCATTCGTCTGCCGTTACTAATTTAAAATATGATTTATGTGCGTGCCAGTGGTAGTGGAAGTGGTGGTAGCAGTCGTAGCATAGTAGTTAAGGCACAGGACGATTTCGCTTTTTCTTTTTATTGCTCCGTGTATACCCTCCAGCGTCCGAACCGACGACGGGTATCGATACTATTTATCTGTATCCGAAATATAATCATATATATTGTTATAACCTATAAAAGTGTTTCGGCTTGATTAAAGATTATAAGCGGAATACGGCCGCCCATCTTCCTCCCCCCTACAATCAATTTCACCCCCCATTGTTATTATCGTTTTTATTTATTGCTCACAATAATTCTACGAGCATCTTGTGTATTACAAGATTTTTTTCTTTGGTAATTATTTTTTAATTCTTTTATATTTTGTCTTTGCAGTGGAAACCGACTGTGACATCGTTGGAGGTCATCTGCAGGACATGACGCTGTGCGAACAGGACGACGAACTCATCATCAACCCGGACACCAATCACAATCATCAGCCCCTGTTGTCGTTGTCGGTCGACGATTCCGGTATCAAAGGGCAGCAGCAAAAGCAACATCACGATGACGGTTTACGTAGAAGAACCGCGTCGGCAGAAGACAGTAACACCAAAGATTCGTCAACGGTAAGTTAAATACAACCAAGACAAAAGCGAATTAAAGAAAATGTGTTCAAGTACAATAAATGTAACCGATATTCAGTTATGAATTGCATACATGATATGTCCTCTATCTAGAATATGGTTCCTAGGAACCTTCACCCTTAAATACACGTGGTAAGCGCCAGTGGATTTAACGTGGTTCTACAATTCCTAAATCCTGACAAAAACACCCGGATTCGAAAATGAGTTTCGTCTTTAAAAAATACAATATGCGTTTCTATAATATTGATTATAGAATTTTGTCGGTCTTACGGTGGCAGTATATTCATTAGTCAGACTATAGACTACAGTATAGATATAGTGTATACTAACCTCCATTTATTAAAGTTTGGTGTAAAATTGACAGTTTAATCACCCGATATCCCTGTGGTTAGGGGAGAAAGAATTCTACCAAGGGCTTCACACCTGTCGTAAAAGGCGACTTAAGTGACGTAGAGCCCTCCGACAAGTAGCCTTTCTGACTGGTCACTTCGTCTTGTGACACACCTTCTCCGGCCCGTAATTAGCACCCAGTGCTACTAGTCGGTCCGCAGTCGTAGGGGATCCCTTCGGGGCGAACCACTAAAGCCAAGGAACATTAGTTAAATCACCCGACTAACGTCCAAATTCATTTTGTGCGGACTTTTAAGCTAAAATGTGAAGGTTTCTTCGAACGTTAAACTACATTTTGTGTACCAACAAGTAATCACAGCGTATAACTAAACGCTCTTCTCGATCGTCATTTCTAGAGAAATTAATTACATTTTGAATTTCTTCCAAACTCAAAATATAACATCTCAGGTTCTATTTAAAACATTGTTTTGGTCATAAAATATTAGAACGATACGGATAGATTTCGTGTAACATCATTTTCTAAGTATACACATTATATACAACAGATAACATAAACGTAATATGTAAAGTGTATAATTGGTAGGGAAGTAATGCGATATTACGGGATAATGCTATAAAAATTGTCCGTCGACCTTCAAATGCGGAGCAAATAAACATGTAATTAACAATCATCCGCGTTAATAAGGTTAAAAACAGCTCATGAATTAAAAGCCTCGTTGATCCTTCGCCAAAAAGCTTCTTTTTCTCCATTTGAATACGATCACCAAGGGCACAATTTTTTATTAAAGAATAAATTTATAACGTTTAAATTTCTTTTGATCAATCCAATTAAAAAGTGTATACATCATAATATTTTGAAATTTATGTGTACTATAAAAACTAGTGTGATACGTGTTCACACAATTATACGCATTTTTTTCATTATTTCGTAGGGTCTTTAATAAACGTTTAGCGCAATAAATATGTACGGTTTTTGTTTTCGTAAAATTGCACACACTAAAAAGAACGAAAATATTTAATAGTTTAAATGATATATTTAAGCTTTAGGTCCATACTTGTTTTGTTTAGTTATGTATGAACAATGACGAAGTATTGTATGCGGATAATGACGTTTTTTTAAGTGGTACGCGATTACAGAATTAAGAAAATGATTAAAGAAGACGAGTAGAAAAAAATTGGTTGAATGAGATGAAACGAGACACCATAGTGGTATGTGTGGCGGATAATGAGCCATTTAGAATAAAAAGTAAATGGAAGTGGCTAGAGGAAGAAGTGTGTGTGTATGGTGACGTAGTGTGTGACGGATGTGCACGGGATACGGCGTAGAAGATAATAAGAAGTAACAACACAGATAATAATAAGTAGTAGTTTTAAAAATAATATTTTCACGTTATTTTTTTAAATATTATTTTATACTCTGCTGTCTGGAAAGTGTGGCATGGCATTATAATTGTCGGTACTTTTTCTTGAATAACCCCCACTCCCATTGTTAACCTCAATATCCACTTGACTTTGCATTGAGAAGCGATTAATCTATTTTGTTGTTTGTTTGTACACAGGACGAGGAGGGAGTGACAGTTAATTACGGCGGCGATGGAGGAACAACAATTAAGAGTATCGACGGTGAAGGACGGCCCGACGTGACCGAGGAGACGAACGGGATCGAGGACTACGACAAAGGTAAGAAGAAGAAAGAAAGTGGCTTCGCCGACTTTTACACGCCGTGTTTAATAATTCCGTATAATTTATAAATTATACAGAACGCTCCGAAAAACTCCCCGCCTTGATATTAATGGCGGACAATTAAGTGGCTGAAAGGTTTTTTAACGCATCCTTAAGCGCCCACCGTGAGTTATTATCTTCCGAACTCAAAGTGCGCGCTTGTATATAGATCAGAGACGTTGTGAAGTTTATAAGACTTTGTGCCACCGCCGCCCCTTTGGATAGGTACGATCGTTTTATCCGAAGTTTACGGCTAATTAAAAGTCGACGTCTAAATGAGCGGCGATTAATATAATAAGGACCGGTGGGAGAAGACGGGGTGGGGCGGCTTTTGCCGAGGACAAACGACACTGGCAACGGAGTTTTGCAGGCGGAACGATTAATGTTTTTTTTTCTGCTTTCGGTGAGGTTTCTTTTTTGGTTTTTTCTCTCCTCCCTTACATAATATAATGACAAAAGTCAGAACTACCGACGAAAATCTCGTTGCCGAATTTTCCGGCATAAAGTTTTTATAAAACGTCTTTGACAAAACTTCTGAATTTCAACATAAAAAATAATATAATATCCGCGCTTCGCCAAACAAAATTGTTTTTGGACAATTTTTTTCTTTTACTTTATAAACGACCCGAATACACAATAGTACATATCGGTCGTCCGCTACACTATTGTGCAGTATGTATATATATATATATATATATTCATTCGAAAATGTCACATTAACCCACGCGCTCGGAACCATTGAACTCTTGCACGCTTGCTTGTACTACACGGCTCATCTGCACGGGGCGAAGGCCGAAGTAATAATTATGATATACTATTATTTGTCGAAAGCGTTGCAAGCTCCTCAAAGTTTGTGTACAACTTAATCGGGGCAATTCGACCGTTTCTGCGTCACTAGATAATAATATAATATATTGTATTAGTATTTGCCATTTTTAATATAACGATGCTGATTTCTCGGAATTCGCGATATCTTCGCCTCCGGTCGCATCTCCAGAGTGCGATCGCCACCGTTCGGCGGCCTTTATGTACAATCGTTATTGCTGTTGCCTGTTATCTTTATTTTTTTTTTTATAACAGTATATTATATATATACCGCATGGACCTGAGGGGAAAGTATAGAAGCACTGGTCACGCCCAAGTTTCCATTAGGCCCGATGACGAAGATGACGACATAAAAATAAACGCGACGGCCGACCGCGGGAATGCGTCAGCTCTTCAGAGCTTATAACCAGCGTTTTATTGCTGATAACGATAAAAAATATAAACGCCCAAAGACACAGCTTTTGGTTTTGGACTTTTTGTTTTACGGGAAACAGGGCCAACTTTTTTTTCTTTCATTATTTAATTTTCTTCCTTGTTCAATACGATATAGTAACAGCGGCGTATGTAGGTATATATAATTTGGGAGTTTCAGGCGACGAGATTTTAATCAAAATCTTTCCAGTCTTTCTCAAAACATTATTCCGTCCGTACGGTGTGCGTTGATAATTGGAACGAATCGGTGAAACTATAGAATTGAACATGCGGTATTCGTCTTCCCGGGGGAACCATTCGTTACATCGCGGCCGTCCAGACCTTTTGGTCGGGCGAGAACACAACAGCGACTGCGGCGGTCTGTTAACGCCTTATTTGCAGACCTGTGTAAACCGGAGTCATTACCTCTGGCCACTACTAACGGGACACGCAGGACGATCGGTATTGTACCGGGTCAATCTCGGTCAAAACAATCACGGGATAAACAACCTCGCCCCTATCTACCGAACTTCTCTTGCTCATCATTCCCAAGCACTGCTGCATTCGGCCGGCACTTAACGACACTCCGCCGTATCCGGGGCCGCCGATATATATGTGTACGACCGGAGGTGAATCAGCAGATAAGACCCTTCGCTTACAAGTACAACAACAACGACGACGACGACGATGAACACAAATGGACGCGTCGCGATATTATGACTTAACGTTATACATGGTGATAGTATAGATTTGTGCGCGGCCCCTGTGTGTAAAAGGAACTCGGTGCGTGACGAGACGGGGGTAAAAATTAATTTTCTTCTGTAGTATGAAATTATGTATACATGATACACCGCTAAGGCCGGTCGGAGGCTTTTAGCCGGCGTTTCCGGACGGTCAAAGCTGCCAAGGCGTCTTACATGGCGGTATTAACAACGTCTGTCCTAATTGAGTAAATCATTTTTATCGGTCCAAAACGACCCTAGACGACGTTGCGAGCGCAGACCGGTCTTTGGCAAACGCGGACCTATCGGTGGTAGGCGTATCTCCGAGTCGGTGCACGGGGTTCGTGCCATCCCCGACCGGGTTCTTCTTGTACTCGTATGTATAATATAGACTGTATAGCAATAAGATAATAATATGTGTCCTTCCACTCCCCCGTGTCCTCCTCCCCTTGTATATGGCGACTTTGTGTTCCGGATGTTCTTTTTGGCATCGACGGGGCTAATAATTTTCCGGCCAGCAGATAGATAATATACAACACGGCCAAATAGATAGATAGATAGATATCTGCACGGCCGTTTAGACAATAAAAACAAAACGGGTTCGGGGTTCCAGGACCATTTGCAGTTAAGAGATTGAGTGATTATCGCACACATTCGTTGTATATATATATATATGTCAGGATAATAATAATATGTTATATGTTGCTTTATGCGTTGTGTGTTCGACACACACTCGGACATGTGCATTTGAATAATTCGTCGAGACCGATGGAGGAGGCGTACACGGAGGACAATGGTGGATGGAGGGGGGGATTTACGATCTTAAAAACCATAGAATTTTCTGGCAAGTCGTTGTCCGTTTCCTCCTCCTGCTTTCTGCTATACGCATATAATATATTATATTATCATACTTGACTTCACTCTAATAAGGTGTGCGCTGCAAAACGTTGGCCGATTTTTATTGTTTTGTTTCTGTGCCAAAACGTTCTTATGCCGCCGCTGTCCACTATTATTAGTTTGTGTGTGTGCGAAGAGTACTACAACGAGAACAGCAAGTCGTAAGTGCACCGAGTGACGTGTTTTTCACGTGGAAATCGTGACAAACCATCAACGAGCTGTGCGGCGACGGCAGAATTCCTATAGGGCAATATTTGAAATAACAAATTTAAAAACAACTGCGGTTGTTTGAATAATTAAATCGTTCTCGCCGGACGTGTTTTGGACTGATTTCAAAAACACATACACACTCTCAACAAGTCTTAACGATATTATATTGTAACACATATGTGTATAACGTGGTCAATGAAAAAGTGTCCAGACAATGCTCGCAATGATGTTAATAAGCGCCTCCGAACGTCAGCCTATAATAGCCGTCGTTACGCCTAGCTAGTTCACAAGTCATTCGGTACTTAAAAACAATTGGTTCGTTTTAACGAACTCGGAAACGGTGCGATCGCCGTTAAAAAAATTAGGTGACTAAAAAAATAGAAAACCTTGGATATTCTATTCAAGATTCGGATCTTGTGCGGTTTTTATGTCATTCATGGACCTGGGCGGTTACGTTCCCGTTTTCATTTTCCACAATACATACATTGTTCATGCGTTTGAAATAGCTATATCATTGATAAATCAATGGCTATATTAATGCCAAGCTTTACTCCTTTACTAACAACTTTTTTAGACAAGATCAAGCGTGTAATAAAATATTAATTAACGCTCTTCACCATAAAACAAAAATAATTCACCTAGTAGCTTATTCGGTAGCAATGCTATCATCATCGGTGCTTACAATATACTGTTGTGATGATGACTGATGTGACTGATGAAGAAGTATATAAATAAGAGCTCCGTGTATACGCTACAATTTATTAAATTATTATTTTTTTACTATCATCACCTAACGGGCTTTAAGGCCCAACGCTGTCATCATGAGATGATGGTATTTTTTAATATGTTATTAATCTATGCAACTTAACAGCTATAACTACAAGTTCGGCCAAGTTTTTTTTAGATCAATCGTGTACCCGATATCATTTTTGAGTAGTCAAACTAGTTTGTGTTTGGCCCTTTAAGACCCGAGCTCTGGACCAAGCTGACAAGTACATAATATACGCACACGCTCGCGCGGAATCGCCCGTCGACCGTATCTATACCTTATCTAACCGAAGCCATTCCCTTGTGGTCTGTTTTTACTATCATGTTCAATAAAAAAAAAAACAGTGAAGGAGATCGCCTTGGAAAAGTTTTTAATCAAAAGTTGGCGGTGGCGTAAAATATATAATGTGGGGACATTGGCGGTGATTTTTACGAATCCAACAAGTTTATATATATTCGTGGAATAATACTTTTTTTTGTCCGGTTCTAAAAAAAAAAAGAAAGAATAGAATAGGAAAAAAAACAAGTTAAAGAAGGAAAGCGAAAGAACCTTTTTCCGTTTGAAAGGATAGAAAATAATAAGTGAAGAGCGACCAGATGAAAACGTTGTGTGTGGGGCAACAAAAAAAGAAAAGAAAGAAAAAGGATGTATAGATGTGTACAGATATAAGAAAAGAAAAGTAATCCGGCGGAGGCCAAAGTGCGCCGCCGGTCCGGCGCCTTCGGTAATTCTGGCGCTACCGCGTTTTCCCCGGTACTTGTGCCGCCGCCGTTCTTGATGTTGTTACTGCTGCCGCCTTCGCCCTATCCCCCATATCCCATATATAGCCCCTCCCCCCTGCCACCGCCAACAACCGGAGGAGAATAACATCGTTTTTAATTGACTTTTGCGTTTGGCCGAAAAATTACAACTTTCCTTTTGTCGTCAAACCCGCGCGTTAACCGCCGTAAAAACAAATAGCAATCGTACGACACGAGTTTGCATATATATATATTATAGAGGACCTCCGCCCAATATATAACGTACTAACGTACTGTTGTATTATATATTTTAACATAACAAAATATAAAAGATGAATAGTATAAAGTTCCAGCATATCCACTATTTTTTTTTTATTTGTTAGG